GATATATATATATATATATATATATATATATATATATATATATTTTAAAGGTTTTATTTATTTATTTTACAGAGATCACAAGTAGAGAGGCAGGCAGAGAGACGGAGGGGGAAGCAGGCTCCCTGCTGAGCAGGGAGCCCCATGCGGGGCTGGATCCCAGGACCCTGCGATCATGACCTGAGCCGAAGGCAGATGCCTAACGAACAAGCCACCCAGGTGCCCCCTAAAATATTTTTAGTAAGGTTTTGCTGCCTACATGTTCTGCAGAGATTCTGTCTTGGGAAGAATGGAAAGGAGGAAGAAATGAAAAATTATGAGCTTCTCAAAGATACCTGCCTGCATACATTGAAATACTAATAATCAAGTTCAAACTAAAAAAAAAAAAAGAGAGAGAGAGAGAAAGACCTATAAGTTAGAAGCCATCTGTTTCTTTTTTTTTTTTAAGATTTTATTTATTTATTTGATAAATAGAGATCATAAGTAGGCAGAGAGGCAGGCAGAGAGAGAAAGAGGAGGAAGCAGGCTCCCCGCTAAGCGGAGAGCCCAATGTGGGGCTCGATCCCAGGACTCTGGAATCATGACCTGAGCTGAAGGCAGAGGCTTTAACCCACTGAGCCACCCAGGTGCCCCAGAAGCCATCTGTTTCTTAAGCATGTCTACTTGTCTTCATATAAAAAGATTAGAAATTGCCCTTTGGAATTATATTTTAGTATCTCACTGTTTGTGTGTTATAACTTATTGCCTCCTGATTAAAAAAAAAAAAAGCAGGTAGTAAATTTGTTTTATTTATCTAACAGTCATATCATTACCATATCAGCTGTTCTTAAAGTGTGGCTTGAGACTAAAACCTATTCAGTGACCCATGCAGTCAAATCTATTTTCATAATTAAAAAACATGATTTGTTTTTATCACTCTTATCTTCTGAATTTACAGTGGAGTTTTCCAGACACAACATGACATCATCATTCGTATGGCTAATGGAATGTGCTTGTGTGTTCTTATGTTTTCTAGAATGTTCTACAGTATTAGGTTTCTCAAATGTGTAAACATTTGGAATATCTGAATGACTCAATAAACTAATGGATGATTTTACAAAATCTTGAGTAAAACGTTCATTCAAAGTGCAAGACTGACCAGCAGGCTTTGATATAACAGTACAAAAAGTTCATTGATACGATTTCAGATTCCACTTTACAACTAACCTTTAAAAAACTACTGTGGAGTTTTGGTGTAGTATAAAAGAATAACCACAGAAAGGCTATTAAAATATTCCCTCATTTCCAAGGACCTATCTCAGTTCATATATTTTCACCAACACAACATATTGCAACAAATTGCAACAAAAGAATCAGTTTCAGTCTATTAAACTAGTCAGTAAGGAGATTTGCCAAAATATTAATCCTCTCATTCCTATTTTATTTGTAAAGATAGTTAAATGTTTGCTGTGTTAATATATGACGGGGTTATTGTTATTTTGCATGAATACTTTCAAATATTTTCCACTTTTATTTATAATTTAAGTAGATATAACTCATGTAAATAAAACTCTTTGTGGTCCTCAAAAATTTTTTAAGAGTATAAGGGGATCTTCAGACCAAAACCTTTGAGAAATAGTATACAAAATCATTAAAATTCTGACTCCCTGCTTTGTGCTTCTAATGATTTCTGCAATGTCTTTCAACACTGTTCCTCCCTGGAGAATTTGGCTGTTTGACTTTCAATTAGGTTTTTCTCCACCTTGGAAAAAAATCAAGCTCTCTTATGTCCACTTAGTCCACTATTCTTTATCATAAGGAAGATTATCAACATATTATTGTTAGAAAAGCTGAAACAATGGAAATTTTCAATTCAAAAATAAAAACGTGGCTAGAATTTACTGAGTACTTGCTCTGTATCAGGCTCTGCACTAAACGCTTTATTTTCTCATTTAGTCCTCTCATCAGTACCTAGAAGTAGGGTGACCATAGTTCTGGGCTTATGCCACTTGTTCAAGCATAATACTTAATATTATCCCCTTCCCATCACATTAAAATTTTCCAGTTTGGACATAAATTATCCTATCATCCCACTTATAAAAATTATTATCCACAGTTTATATATGAGGAAACCGAGGCATTGATAGATTAAATGTACATTGCTAGTAAATATAGCTCTGGGATCCTAACC